TGTATTTAGCGCTCAAAGAGGCAGGTTCTTTAGTTATTGTAGGTTACATTATATTGTTGTCCTGCCCTGAACTCGTCTTTGTAGCTATAGTTACAGTATGTTGTTAAATGTGCCTTCGAGTGAGACTTTATTCAAGAGGGATTCTGAAGACACAGAGTAATTCAGTTCCTATCAAAGCATCTCCATTCACACCTATCCATAATTTAAAGTGCCAGCTTGGCCCAGATGCCATGTTATTGTGCTTTTTTTCCTTTTATTTAGCTTTACTTTTGTTTCCCCTTCTTCTACTGACTTTTTTCAGCATTTCCTCTTAGCCCGAGGGTCAGAAGACATCTTGAGTTACCTCACCTGTCTACCCTATTTGGAATGGTCCAGTCTGTGTAATCGGGCTTGAATCTTTGCCCTCGTCGCCATTGCAGTCTTTTACCCTTTTGCTCTTCCTGCATTTGAATCAAAGGCTGGCGCAGCTTATACACACTTAAGCCTTGCTTTTAAAAAACTGCACTTTTTTCTTCAGCTGAAAAACATGTTTAAATATTTAGCACCCATATTCACAGCTGTTTGACACTTGTAATTCCTCGTCTTACAAGTCCCAAACAAACGGCAGAGAAGATCACACAGTCAGTCTGAATCACAGCTGTCATCATTATTCACTTTGACTCTCCCCCACCCTTATTGAAATAATAAGGAAATCATCTGAACTTTGGAAAATGGTGATAGTAACCGTCTGTGTTTGATATTGAAAGAAGGCAGGAGAAGGAAAGAAGAGGGGAGAGATTTCTTTTGAGCTACAGCTGCATTGTTCTGGGGCTCCCTGTTAATAACTTACAACTGAAGAGTGTTTCTTGACGCAAAAAAGCACAACAGAAAAACACCATTTTTGTGGTTCCTAAGAAGATCTTTGTTCAAAAATGTAGGTGTCAGATGAAAAGGCATACATACATAGGTAGGAATGGTGGTGGTGGTGGCGGCGGGGCGCACTGGTGCACTCTCAGATGCACAATATTTATCATATATTATATTTTAATCTTTTGCTAGAAGGCTCCATGAGAGGATCAGGTATGATTTGTGCTCTGTGCATGCCTTTGCCTTGTTCTCAAGGTTTTTACAGTGGTTATATGAGAACCGCAAGGGTCAAGTCTTGAATTGGGACAGTGTAGCAGACCAGCAGCAACTTTGCATTTCTCTCAGTAAAAATTGCTGACAAGGATTGCTTGCTTGCTGCAGAATAAAAACAAATGGTTGAAAACCTGAACAATTTCACTATTTTTGGTCCTGCAACATTGGAGCAATATTGCATGACTGTGAGAGATACTGCATTGTAATTTGTATCTCTTTATGTATAATCTCTTTATCTGTGTTGACTGACTGTGGCAATGCAGTGAACGATCTTTAGTTTAATTTGTACACGTTCCTTTTCATTATTTTCCCTGGTATCATCTTGTGTCCGTGGCTGGATTGTTCCATTATTAGGGCTATCATAGTCTGCCATTACTGGATTCTTAGTGGCTGAACTTTAACCCTTTCCTTCAGGTTCTGTCACTGTGAAACTCAGGATGCATTATTCTAATGATCACACACACACACACACACACACACACGTATACTA